TGAATTACATTGTTACTACTGTTATATAATAATATTATTTATAATATTTTTATTACCACTATTGATATCATTACAGTATTATCATCATCCATCATCATCATCCTCATCCTATTCGTCATCGTCATCATCATTCTCATTGTGGTCTAATCATTATAATCATCCTTACTATCATCGATCGTTGTACTCATCACCATCATCATCATCACATCATACTCATCCATCGTCATCGTCCTCATCACGTCCTTATCAATCATCTATCGTCGTTATCATCATCCTCATAATCTTCATCCTCCTCATTCTTCATCATTTTCTTCATCATCATCATCCTCATCATCATATTCATCCTCATCCATCATCCTCATCATCATCAATGGTATAGCCAGCTGTTGGGACAGTCCCACACCATTTTTCCAATGGGTCCACAAAAAATGGTCCACATTTTAAAAAAGGGTCCAAATTATGTAATTTTATGCATAAAATGGATCCAGATACCTTATATTTAGTTAAATATGGGTAAAATTTAAGAAAATGGGTCCAGATATTTCATATTTTTGCGTAAAATGGGTCCACATTGTTTGAATTTACACGTAAAGTGGGTCCGCTCTGATATTGTCCCACACCGTTTAAAAATCCTGGCCATGGGATTGATCCTCATCCATCATCGTCACCCTCATCACCATCCTCACCAATCATTGTTAACATCATCACCTTCATCCTACTAATCATCCTCATCCATCGTCATCCTTATTCTCATCATCATCAACCTCATCCTTATTATACTTATCATCATCACTCATTCATCATCATAGTCCTCATTACCATCATCATTTTTATTATCATCCTCATCATCATCCTCATTACAATCATCATCTATCATCATCATCCATCATCATCCTTGTCCTCATCATCGAACACATCATCATCATCCTTATTAATCATCATTATCAATCATCATCCTCATCATGAGGATGATAATGAAGAGGATGAGGACGTCAAGAATTAAGATGAGGATGAGGGGCAGACGGGGTGTTTCTCATCATTCGTCATCATTAACCTCATCAACATCATTCTCATCAATCATCCTCATCATTATCACGATCACCCTCATCAACGACCATTATCATCAATCATAATCATCATCATCCT